CAGAAAGTGACTTTAGTTGGATTGAAAATATGATTACTAGTTACGATGAGGTGGTATTACTGGAGTAGGGGGGGTGCCTCTCCAACAGGACTGGCGTCCTTCTAAAAAGGGAGACATTTGGACAGAGAGGCCTTGGGAACCTGGAGGCAGAGATCAGGCCAAAGCCTGCCAACAAGTCAGCAAAAGCCAGGAGAGAGGCATGGCACAGACTCCCTTTCACGGCCCCGGAAGCAATCCTGATCTATCCTCCAGAACTGAGAGAAATAAACTGCCCTATAAGCTACTAAAGTCCGGGGTAACTGTCACAGCGCCCCCTAGCAAAGTACTGCAGTGAGTGCAGTTCCTATCTCTGGGAACCAAAGATATTCCTATCTTGGGGAAAGAGTCTAGTTTGGAATTGTAAATGTGTGCTTTAAAACATTCGGTAGTCTTTCGTAGTCTCAGACTAGGCCTGATCTCCGGGAGAGAGTCCGGGAGGGGGCGTGGGGCCTCGCTGCTTCACCAGCGGGGTTCCCAAGGCACCGGGGTCCGGGCTGCAGCGGGACCTGCTCCCGCACGCACGGACTCCCTCAGGCCGAGGCCTGTGTGATGTGACCCCGGTGACCGGCTCCCTACCCGGCACACCCTGCGGATTAAATATGAGTCCAGATCTCAGTTCCTCTCATTTCAATCCCATGAAATGAGGCAAATCCATTGCCATCTCCAAATCTGTAACAAAGCAAGAAAAATAGTATCCACCTCATATGCCCCATTCAAGGATTCCATGAGCTTCATGTAATCAATCAATAACTGTCTTAGGCTATTGGGAGACCCCTCTCTTAGAAAACACACTACACTCTGATATTCAGCACATTCAAAAACCTTTTTCTGTAACGAGGTTAAAAAATCACTTGTTATTAAGCTCCCTTAAACACACACACACACACACACACACACACACACACACACATTACCTAACTGGTTATGTTAACACAGTCTGCAGAATTAAGTAAATGATTTGTAAAGTGGATTTCCCAATGTCACCAAAAGACTTACCATTGCATGAGCTGTATCTAGCAAAACAGGTTTCGGGCTCCTTAATACAGGCTGCAAAATAATTATTTCTACCTGCTCCTCCTACCGGCTCCCCTGGTAAACGTTCCCGAATCAAAAACCACACCTTAGACCAGCCAGGCGGGGGGGAGCAGCCTCCTGTCCCTCTGCTCCACAGACCTGCCTCCACTCCCCGCCCCGAGGTCTGCACTCTCGCCTGGCTATAAAGTGTCCACGGCCCTGTGCTGGAGGATAACAAGAGCAATAACTTCCAAGAAAGTGAAAGCTGGAGCTGACTCCCTTCCCAATTACCCGTCTCAGGGAAAGGTCAGAATAACCTTCCCGGGAAGCTCATCGCCGGCCCACACGGAGCCCAGGGCCGCCCCTGCTGGAGCTGAAGCACAGCCTCTCACAGGCCCATTCCTTCCTCCCTCCGCGGGCTCTGCCTGCCCGGCCACAGGCGGGGAGACACACGGGTGGTGGAGGGAGAGCAAATTCATGGGAGTTTGCAGAGAGGGATGCTTCTGTTGGTTAAAACTCGGGAAAATTTAATTTTGGAAAATTAAAACTTCCAAGTCAAAAAAAAAAAAATGACCTAAATTCCCACTGCATCATCCTGTCCCTTACATTTCTTCCCCCAAGTCTCACAGTGCCCCGGGCTTCAAACAGACTGACAATGCTGCGGACACATAAACCGTGCTTGAAACAAAAGCTGTCTCCCGCTACCTGTGACTGGATATTTCAGGAAGGATGACCCTACAGCCTAATATTGGCAAAGGGGGTCTTCAAGATCAGTCCCCATAACACCGCTCAGCAAGCACGGTGCTGACGGTGTGCCACAGGCGACAGCAGTCAGAACAAGCAGGAAAGCAAACGCAAAGCCCTCTGTAAATGGAGAAAACATTCTAGAATGAATAGTGTATGAGACAGGGCCACGGAGCTGGAAGGCCTATGTCTGGAGAAATAACAAGTCCGTTAGTTAGGCAGCGACCTACATACGGCCCGAGTTACGCTCTTTGTCCCGCCTCTGGGAGCAGGAAGGGGCCTGCCCTCCCAGGAGCATGGCCACCTGGAGCCTTCCTAAGTGACCGGCCTCTACTCCTAAGAACAACAAACAGCATCAAAACGAACGACAGTACACGCTCACGTCTGTGGCTTGTTCTCTATTCTGCTTTATATTTTCCTTAAGCATAAAAAGAGAACAAGAATGCTACGGCCAGCGATAAGAGAGGACCCTCACAAGCTTTGCTCCCTTCACCATCACCATGAACCTTAAGCAAGTCCCTGTATGTTCTGCTCTTTGGCAAAATGAAAAGCGTTAGATTAGGTAAGGAACAATAATCGGGCCTTACTTGTGTCTACATTCGCTGTGCCAGACAATTACAGCTGCCGATAAAATGTCTGTGGGATGAACTCTATGGTCTCATCCAGCATGAAATGTTCATGTCTCTAGGATTATACCACTGTGTTCCAAAAGATACATACAATGGTTAGGAAAAGAAATATCTTAATTTTTCTTCTAAGCGTACACACACACACACACACACACACACACACACACACCCCACTCCTCATATAGATAGAAATAGGTATCAGAATAGGTACATGAACATATGAGGGAAGTATGTGTGCATGTATGTATGTGTCTATCCCTCCACATTCTCTATTCTCAAGGCACCTCTCTGAAGAAGTCAAATTATGATGATTACTAAAAGAAGATAAGTCTTTAATTATTAAAAATATATATGAAATATTTTTGTAACAGATACTAAAGAATTCTTGGGCTATTGAGTGAAAAATCATTTTTCAAAGGATAAAATAGAGTTAGTACTATTATCAATATTTTAAACATAACCACAAAAAATTAACTATATGTTACCTCCTATACCAGGAAAAATATTTCAAAAGCCACAAGTGACCTGAATTATAGAATACCTTTGAGTAAAGTATAAGACATTTCAAGTATACACATATAAGAATGTTTAATTAAAAAGAGTTGTCAGCCCTGCCCAGTGCTATACAATGGTTAGAGTGTCGGCCCACACACCAAATGATCTCGGGTTCGATTCCTGGTCAAGGGCATGTTCCTGGGTTGCAAGTTCGATTCCTGGCTCCAGTTGGAGAATGTGCAATGTAGGAGGCAACTGACAGATGTGTCTCTCTCACACTGATGTTTCTTATTCTCTCTCTCTCCCTCCCACTGCCTCTAGAAATCAATGGAAAAAATATCCTCCTGTATTGAACCTTACAGATGGGGGGAGGCCCTAGTTTGGCCTAACACCTTATTAGGTAACAGCCCTCCCTCCTTTCCAACTACTATAGGAGATCATCACAAGAAGTCTGCATCCTCAGAGCAGCCCCAAGACCTCCTGTTAGAATCTGGACTCTCGCCTTCATTAATGGACTTGTCAAAGGGGCATCCAACTTCTTAGGTATTTTGGCAACAATAATCTAAACAGACAAGGAAGGCTGCAGAGAGGGGTCAGCCATGAAAACTCTTTTTTTTAAATTTTATATTTTAATTTTTAAAAATTTCTTTTCTGTTACAGGTGTGACATACAATATTAGTTTCAGGGTACAACGTAGGGACTAGACAACGTAGTGACTGTTTTTTTTTTTTAAATGCCATGGAAACTCTCGAAGATACAGAAACGGGGAGTAGTTAACACCCACAATCACAAGCCTCCCACTTCTCCCCGTGGACAGCGGCACTGGGAGACCACCTGCCCGGCTGCAGGCTCTGCGGGAGCCCCAGGGTCTCTCAGAGCCTTTTCCTCTGAGCACAGGAACTTGAGGCAGCTTCCCGCACCTGCTAAGGACGCTTCTGGCATAGGTGCTGGGGCGATAGGAAGCAAGACCAAGTCCACAGCCGACTACAAGGGGGTGGGGGTGGGAGGAAACAACTAGAGAAGGATCCGCAGAGAATGACACCTGAATATTAAAACGCCTTCTCCCCTGGAGTCCTGCATTTCTTTCCGTTTGTCTTCCCAAGACATGGCCTACCAAGTTTCTCCACGAAAGGAAACATGCTGATGGTGTCGTACTGAAACACACCTCACATTTTTCTTTTCAAAAATATAAATCGTTCAGTGAATCTTCTGAGCATAAAAAGAGGACAGGAGACTGACCCGCTGTTGTAAGAGTGTGGTTTTTAAAACCCCCACAAAAACATGCAAAAAGCTATAAAATAACCCTCAACTATAATAACTTTCTGAGTCATCCTGAGCAGGAAATCATGGTCTTGCTAAAGTTGACATTTGAGAGGGCCGATCCCACACGGTTAATGCAGGCGATGCATGTGTCACCCGCAGATTCCTCTGACAGGTACAGGAGGCGGCTGAGCAGGGTCAGTCCAGTGAGACTGGGCAGGCTGCAGGTCAGGAGGCTGCAGGTCAGGGGGCTGCAGGCCAGGGGGCTGCAGGTCAGGGGGCTGCAGGCCAGGAGCCTGCAGGTCAGGGGGCTGACAGCTGGGGCAGAGGAGGGGGAAGGTCTGACCCCTAAAGTTTGGTGTCTCCTCTCGTGGTGATCACAACTCCGGGAGCAAACCCTAAGGCCAATACTCCCTACAATGCCCCCTCCCCCCCCCTGCGCCCCGCTTTGCATCACATCACCCCCAAATAAAACCCCAGCCGCCGCCGCCGCCCAGCCCCGGGGCTGCGCGGGAGGCTGGGACTCGCACCCGCACACAGAGCGGCCGCGGGCGGCGAGGACCACACACGTGGGGGCGATCGCGCGCCGGGAGGCCCCCGCCCCCGCCTGGCCGGGGGCGGCCGTGACCGTCACCTTTGCACAGGCACCTCCTCCGGGGCGGCCCCGCCGCCGGCCAAGCCACCGGCCTCCCCGGGCGGCGGGGCGCAGGGCCGGGCTCCGGCGCGGCGCGGGCACCTGAGGAGCGCGGCGGGGCGCGGGGCGCAGGGCGCGGGGAGCCGGAGCGGGGCGCGGGGAGCCCGGCGCGGGCGCGGACCCACCTGCACCTGCAGCGGCACGAGGCGCACCTTGCAGCGCTCGCTCACGGCGAAGCCCTTGGGCAGGTCCACGTACTGGCCCCACTCCTCGGCGAAGAGCTGCACCACGAATTTGCGGTGCATGTCGAGCTGGTCGCCGTACAGGCTGAGGAACTTCTGGATGAGCAGCTCGTAGCCGGCGCCGTGGGGCACGGCCGAGGGCCGCGCGAAGACCGAGAAGCAGAAGAGCACGGGGACCGAGCCCGACGGCGCCCCCGCGGGCCCGCCGCCGCCGCCGGGGAGCGCCGGCACCGCCGCCTCCGCCGCCATGTTCGCTCCCCGCGCGTCCGCCCGCCGCCAGGCCGCCGAGGCGCAGGCACCGCCGGCCGCGCCCCGCCTCCCGCCCGCCCGCCGCCCGCCCGCTGCCGGAGGCCGAGGGGCGGGTCCTGGCGGCCGGGCGCGCGCCCTCCTCCCGCGCCGCGCGGGGCGGACGCCGCTGGAGGCCGGGCGCGGGGTCCGGGGTGCGCGCGGGACCGCCCCCTCCGACTCGCGGCGGCTGCGGGGCGCAGCTCGGGGAGGAGATTGGGGCTCCCCTGCCACCCCGCTCCGCCCACTTGTGAACAGACGTGTCTTCCGGAGCTCTGCAGCTGTGCTGAACCTGCTGCCTTACCTGTTGGCCTGGTGTAGAGACATGCAGTCCTATGACAGCACAATCATCTTTTTTCTTTCTTTTTTTTAAAAAATATTTTGCAATTCCCAATCCAAGGTCTCCCGGAAAGTGGGTTGAGATAAAGGGAAGAGAGAAGGAGAGAGTCAGAAACATCGGTGAGAGAGAAACATCGATCAGCTGCCTCCTGCACACCCCCCACTGGGGATGTGCCCGCAACCAAGGTACATGCCCTTGACCGGAATCGAACCCCCAACCTTCTATCCACTGAGCCAAACCGGTTTTGGCAGCACAGGCATCTTAAACCAAGAGGGCAGACGGGTGATCAAAGAGCAGCGGAGTTTAACATGCTAATTTGGGGGCACCACAAGCTCAGAACTTCATGGTGTGTGTGTGTGTGTGTGTGTGTGTGTGTGTGTGTGTGGTGTGTATGTATGTGTGTGTGTTTTTCTTCAGTCCCATGGAACACAGTATCTCTAATAACGGATTGGAGACCTTGACCTCCCTTTATCTCAACCCACTTTCCGGGAGACCTTGGATTGGGAATTGCAAAATATATAAACAGTTCAAGAGTGAAAATTAGGACTTTATATTGGAACTGAGAGTTGGTTTTTAAGCGAGTTAAAGCGATCGCCTTCAAATAAAATCATTCTCTGCCTTATTAACACTGCAAGGCACTCTATAATTTACTAGAATTAGAAAAGCATACATCAGGAGCGAAGTTTCCTGAATGCCAGGCCGTGGGAAGATAGGCTCATGAGTCTAAACATGAAGTTAGATTTTAGGTATTAGGGGCTATTTGTTCTTTTATGGTAAAGTGATACCGTTTTAAGGCAGGGCTCCTCAACAGGCATCGCTGACGTTTGGAATGGATACTATGTTTTCCTTGGGACCTGTATTATGTGTGTGTAGGATGTTTTGCGGCACCCCTGGCCTGTATCCACTAGATGCCAGTAGTACCCCGCTCCTCCCTAGTCTTGACTGTCAAAAATGTTTCCAGATAATGACAAATATCCCCAGGGGCAAATTTGCCACCTGTTAAGAGCCACTGCTTTAAAGTAATGCTATGGCCGTCACTTGGTTTTTGGCTCATTTGTACCCAAGCTACTGAAAATGCTGTTTTCTGACTTCTCATCAACTTGGAGAGATTCCAATTTAAAACGTGTCTAAAACCATCAGAACCAGAATGATATTTTTGCAGATATCACTCCATTGCGAAGTCTTTTATAGGCAGATGTGCAAATCTGTGCTAGTAAGAGAAAGGTACTTTAGGCTATCTGATTACAAGAGGTATGTATTCTGGGTTGCTAATTATAAAAGTGTTCCTTCCAATCCTATCTAATAAAAGAGTAATATGCAAATTGATTGTACATCTGCTATACCCACAAGCCATGCCCACCAGCCAATCAGGAGCAAGTATGCAAATTAGTCCATCCAAGATGGCTGCGGCCACAAAGAGAGCAGGAGACTTGAGTTGCCCCCGTCGATGGAGGAAGCCAAGCTTTCCTCCAGCTCTGACCTGTGTTGGCCTCAGCTCAAGGCTACAAAGTTTCAATTATCGAAAATAAATAAATCCCAACAAAAATGGCAGCAGCCACGGAGTTGGAGAAAGCAGGAGGCTTGAGTTGCCCTGGCGATGGAGGAAGCCAAACTTTCCGTCTGCCTTGGCCTGACTGCCTTAGCCTGTGTGGGCCTCCTCTCAAGGCTACAAAGTTTCAATTATAGAAGATAAATAAAACCTAAATACCAGGGCCCCTGCTTGGGTTGGGCTGGGGGAGTAGGGGCCACGCATAACCAGCCTGCAAACCACTATAGACCCCTCACGCAGGCTGCCCCATGCCCCAAGGGAACCCCCACCTTGATCCAGGACACCTTCAGGGCAAACCAGCCGGCCCCCATCTGTGGACCAGACCTTATCCTATCTAATAAATGAATAATATGTAAATTGACCATCACTCCAACACACAAGATGGCTGCCCCATGTGGTCAAAGATAACTGCCTCCATGTGGACACAAGATGGCCACCACAAGATGGCCAGCAGGGAAGGGCAGTTGGGAGGGACCAGGTCTGTAAGGGAGGGCAGTTGTGGATGGTCAGGCTAGCAGGGGAGGGGAGTTGGGAGGGACCATGCCTGCAAGAGAGGGAAGTTGGGGGCAACTGGACCTGCAGGGAAGGGTAGTTGAGGGGGACCCAGGCCTGCAGGGGAAGGCAGTTAGGGGTGACCAGTCCTGCAAAGGAGGGCAATTAGGGGCAAACAGGCAACAATCAGGCTGGCAGGGGAGCAGTTAGGCATCAATCAGGCTGGCAGGGGAGTGGTTAGGGTGTGATCAGGCTGGCAGGCAGAAGCGGTTAGGGGCAATCAGGAAGGCAAGCAGGCAAGCAGTTGGGAGCCAGCAGTCCTGGATTGTGAGATGGCAGTCAGACATCCCTTGAGGGGTCCCAGATTGGAGAGGGTGCAGGCTGGGCTAAGGGACATCTCCCCCCCCCCCCCCGTGCATGAATTTTGTGCACCAGGTCTCTAGTCTGCTAATAAGAGCCATGGTCAGAACCCTTTCATCCACACGACTGCTACCTACCACCCAAGACCAAAGCATTGTCATCCCTCATCTGCCTGTAACACTGTCCTCATAGATAGTGCCCATTCTTTGAGTTTTAGACCCCTAAGATCCATTTACCACATGGCAATCAGAGTAGTACTTAAAAACCCCCACCCATAATTTCAGAATGTATCACATGTCTGTTCAAAATTCTCTAGTACTCAGAAAAGACCTCAAAAAAAAGAAAAATCCAGATGTTGGAATTGAAAGAACTTTAGAGCAGTTATACATATATTTGAGAACATGAAGTGTGGTCATAAGAATGAACAGATGGAAAATATCAGCAGAGAGGTGAAAATGACAAAAAGTTAAGTGTAGGTTTTAAAATGAAAAATATAATATTTGGAATAAAAAAATTCACTATAGTCTAAACATCAGAAGAAATGATTAGTGAAATTATCACAACCCCCAGAATACTTCCTGGCACATAGTAGGCTCCCTACAATTATTTGGTGAAGAGGTGTTACAGTGACTGTATCTTTAAGCTTACTGTACTGAAAAATCAAAGATATATTCAGTCAAAGATAATTTTTTTTTCCGGTGAGTGCTTCGTCTACATTGTAGATTAATCCTCGGATAGATATTATTAGAGGATTACTGGATTTATCAGCAGGCTCCACACAAGATTTTTTTTACTCCATTTATGTTTTCTGGAAACTTTGTGATAAGGAAAGCAAAGAAAATCACTTATCAAAATAACTTATACTCTTCACCATGGGGGAATTCTGACCATTTTCCGCAAAAGAAAAGAAGGTGTCAAAATGTTCTTTTATACATAGATGAATGTTGTACAATTAATTATTCGAGGAGCTGCCAGATAAATTTTAGAACTGGAAGATTATCTAATAGAGACATATAGCAGAAAATGATTGCTAAGATTTATTATTGTATTATAACATCACCAAAGATCTTGTAGTTGGTTGCTGGCATATCCAACTGTGACTATCACCCAAATGTGATTCAAATTCACATTAATATAAAATGGAATTGTTTGAATTTTTCATCTAGTCATTTGCTCAATGAATAATATATACTAAGAGTTCTGTGGTGAACAAGAAAGATAATGCTCTTACAGAGTTTCTTGCTCTTTTTTTTTTTTTTTTTAAATCCTCACCTGAGGATATTTTTTCCCATTGATCTTTAGAGAGAGAGAGAGAGAGTGAAAGGGAGGAAGGAAGGAGAGGGAGAGAGAAACATTGATGTGAGAGAGACACATTGACTGGTTACCTCACACACGAACCTGACCAGGGCCCAGGAATCGAACCTGCAAGCAAGATAGGCACCCTTGACCGGACATTGAACCTGAGACCTTTCAGTCTGTGAGCCGATGCTCTAACCACTGGGAACTGGCCAGAGCAAGAGCTCCTTGTTCTTATGGAGCTTACTGTCTCCTGTGGATATGTAGACGATAAACATGCAAACAAACAAATGAAGGAGATAACCCTGCTTGGTGAAAAGGCTAAGAGAAAGAAAAAAAAAAGTCCTAGAACACAGCTGGGAATGGTAGGATGCAGGATCTTTTCAATAAATTGTCAGTGAGCTACTTTCTTAGGAGAAAACATGTAAGCTGTGATCTCAGTGGGTGAGAGAAGTACTCAGACAGGGGAGAACAAGCCCAAAGGCTCCTAGAAGGTAACAAGCCTAGGACATCTGAGGAAGGGTGGGCTGGGACACGGTGAATTGTAGGCGGTGAAATCAGAGATGTGCGCAATGGCTAAAACCACATAGAGAATTTGGTTCTGTTCCTGGTAAAATGTTTTAACCAGGGAAATAACATGAACTTATTTGTGACTTAAAAATACCCTTCTTAACTGGTTTGTGGAGAACTGAATGTCGGAGGTCAAAAGTAGCAGCAAGGAGAAAAATAAAAGTAGAAGCAAGGAGACCTGCGTGGTTGGCTCTCCGCCGGGTAAGAGGTGGTGGCAGATTGCTCGGAACAGTAGTTCTCAGCCAGGGGCGACTTTGCCCTGGGGCATATTTGGCAATGCCTGAAGACAGTTTTAGATGTCACAATTGGGAACAGGGATGCTACTGGCACCTGATAGGTAGAGGCCTAGAATAGTGC